GGTCTAATTTGAGCTGTCTTGGAGGGTTCGGGGGGTGCCTGGGCAAAGGGCCGCCCTTTCATGGATAGGCTGGGGGGTCTGAAACTTCTCGTCTGGGAGGGTTGTGACCCCCTCCCTTTTCTTACGAAATCTGGAGTAGGGGAACGAGCAATGCGAAGCAACGACAAGGTTACAAAACAGCGCGATGCAACTTGTCTAGTCAGCGGCCGCAAGAAGATCGGGCGGCGGTCACGCAGCGGCGGGGCGCGCCGGAACACAGCGAGACTCAGCCCTCTACTTATGCAGGAAGAAGGAAAAGCGACACCAACACCAACAGGGCGAGGAGATGCGCGGAGGCAAGGGGGGTTTCCCTGGTGGTGTGGTCCCCCCCCCTCCCTCGAGACATACCCCGTCTCCCGCTCGGGGAGGCATTGTGGACTTCCTCGCTGGAGGTGGGCCGCCTGGTGGTGTTGGTATCGCCTCCATCTCCCACCGACTACAGTGGGGGCGTTGACCTAAGGAACCCTAAATAAGGAACGAGGCCCCTCTTTTCCATAAGTGGAACTTCGATTTCCCATGCAAAAACCTAAGGGAAACCCGAGGCAAACTGTAAAACAATCAAGGAACACCAAGCCCCTCCCCAACGAAAAGGGTTCCTTCTTCAGGGCCCCGACTGTATGTAAACAACAGGATGCAGCAAAACGCGATGCAAAGCAGACGCTGCGCACGTGCCAAGACCGCCATGGGCGACCCCGAAGCCCAATCAAAACAGCGCGGGGGCGGCACTCCGCCGTGGCCTCCGCCGTGGCCGGGGCCCACACCCGCGCCACGGCGTGGGCCATAAAGGGCCGCTGGCACGGAATGGAATCGCCTCGACCTTCGGCCTTCGAAGTTCGAGATCTTTCGAGCGAATGTGCTCTGACTCCTCGTCGTCAACGGCCAGATGTTCCTCGAATGTTTGGCCTGGGCGCACCCCGCGGCAGGTCTGGAGTCAGATTGCGACCCCCCAAGCCCAGAGCCCATCCGAGCGTGAACAAAAACAAGGTGGACGCTTCTGGGCCGGTTTCGGCCTCTGGGGGTATTTGCGGACCAAAGCACCGTCAAACAAAAAACAAATCGGGATAATGCCGGTCACGATCTTAATGCCTGCGCCCCCGAGCTGGAGACCACTGGGTAGCTGGTGCAGACAGCCTGCGCGCTGATGTCGTCGATGACGTTGTACGCTGAAACCGATGGGTGCTGACTCAAGACTGTCGCCAGCAGCCAATCGATGAATACCTTCGCTTGAGCATCACCTCTCACACGCATCCACGAAAGTTGAGCGCTCTTGGCCCCGCATAGAGAATACATGATGCCCGAATGACCTTTGCGGGGGGGCCGCCCGCCACTCCGTCCTCGAAGAATCTGAAGTGGCACGCCATATCTGTAGCCAAAGTGGATGGTTGGAGTGCTTTCGCCTTCGAATAGTGCACGATGGCCTGGCGAACCCAGCCAGCTCTGCCGCATTCGCGGCCATGTTGACCCACAAAAAACCGAACAAGTCGCGGGCGTCCCCCCACTCCTTGGCAATGTCGCGACGGACCTTGCCCTGCACAAATAGGGCAGATCAGATGAGAGCAACCGGTCGAACTCCCGATCCGTCTGGCTCGGAAATGAACGCAGTCATCGTGGGAGAACGTGCATCCAAATGAGGGTCCGCCTCCCGCATGACCATGGGGTCCACGAGGCACTCGATAAAATCGTCGTCCAGCAGGTCGAACGAGGGAGGGTTGACACAGCCACCCCCAAGGCGACGCCATACGTACCCAAAATGATCTGCATGCGTGTCGAAGCCGGTTCTCCGAAGGCCAGGGTAGAACCTCATGACTGGCCACCACCGCCTGTAGCTATGAAATGGCCTGCTTACCGTCCATCCAGTATCTCGACCACAGCGTCATCTGCCTGCAGCAGCCAAAGCTTTGGCGCACTAAGGCCCACAGAGTGGGGTGAGTTCTTGCAAAAACGGTGGGCCTTGAGGACCCCATGCTTGACCGTACTCTGAACCCATTCCGTCCATTCCTGCAAGTCGGCCTTCGCCGCCTCCGATGAAGGCTCCACCGCTGCATTGCCAACGCTAAGGCAAGGAATGTCAAGACCCTCGCTACCGCTGTCGGGAAAATTCTAGCTGTCATGGTACTCGAAGCACACGTGTTGTGGCCCGTCAGAGCTTCGAGACCAACCGAATCCAGCTCTTCAATCAGCTGTATGATGGTGGGACCGGGAGTACTGGACGCCAAACTCGTAATACTCGATCTACTTCCTGCAACTGACACGGCTCGCTGGATTGCCTCGGCCGGGTCCAGGCATCCTACCGAAGGCGCGATGGCACGATGGCACAAAGCGTTAAGACTACCAACCGATGGTCTTGGGAGGGTTTCAGCGACCTGGCCACCCGGCAGCGCCACGTGCGAAGTGCATCCCACGCCGGCAGGCACCCACCCACCCACGGAAATAGCTGAGGCCGCAATCGACGCACACAATCCCTTCCATGCCTGGGCTACGGGTGGCTGGGACGGGCTGGTCGGGTCCACGCCTCCTGCCAGAGGTGCAGTGCCATAAGGGCAAAGAGCAATATAGGATAAGTCGGGCGTGTCCCCCTACAGGGGGACTTTTGGCGAAAATAAAACATACTAAAAAAATACCAAGGTCCCGAGAGAAGCCCGGGAGAAGCCACCAGACCACTCCAGGGGAGGGTATTTTTCGACACCCCTCACGAGGATCGTGGCCTCCGAGGGGGGAGCCGCAATCGACTACCCCCAAGAGCCCCCCAAGAGGCCCTGGGGGCCTCCAAAACGCCGCCAAGGAGCCCCAAGAGACTTCCAAGAGGTCCCCAAGAGGCCCCCAAGAGGCCCCCAAGAGGCCCTAAAGAGGGCTCCAGGGCCGGCGGCATGAGCGAAGCGATTAAATAAAACATACTAAAAAAATACCCCAACATGGACATTCGAAATACTAAAATTATCCCGGCAAAGCAACCTAACAGCGATGTGTAGAAGCATATCTGAAAGCATTCCCCTTAAGATTCAGATGAAAATCCAGTTGTCGAATTCTGCTGTTCTCGCAGTCGTAGTCGCATTCGCGATGACAGTCGCAGCGGCAACGGCAGTCGCAGTCACAGCCTCAGCCTCAGCCTGCCTCCTCCTCCTCCTCCTCTTTCTCCTGCTCCTCCTCCTCCTCCTCCTCCTCTTCCTCCTGCTCGTCCTCGTTCTCGTCCTCCTCGTCTTGCTCGTCCTCCTCCTCCTGGTGCTCTCTCCTCCTCCTCCTCCTCCTCCTCCTCCTCCTCCTGGTGGTCCTCGTTCTCCTCCTCCTGGTGCTCTCCCCCCCCCTCCTCCTCCTCGTCCTCCTCCTCCTCCTCCTCCTCGTCCTCTTCCTCCTCTTCCTCCTCCTCCTCCTCCTCCTCCTCCTCCTCCTGGTAGTCCTCCCCCTCCCCTCCTCCTCCTCCTCCTCCTCTTCCTGGTCGTCCTCGTTCTCGTCCTCCTCGTCTTGCTCGTCCTCCTCCTCTCGGTGTCTCTCCTCCTCCTCCTCCTCCTCCTCCCCTCCTTCCTCCCTCATCCTCCTCCTCCTCCTCTGGTGGTCCTCGTTCTCCTCCTCCTGGTACTCTCCCCCCCTCCTCCTTCCTCCTCGTCCTCGTCCTCCTCCTCCCTTCCTCCCCTCTTCCTCCTCCTCCCTCCTCCTCCTCCTCCTCCTCCTCCTCCTCCTCCTCCTGGTACTCCTCCCCCTCCCCTCCTCCTCCTCCTCCTCCTCTTCCTGGTCGTCCTCCTCCTCCTGGTCGTCCTCCTCCTCCTGCTCGTCCTCCTCCTCCTCCTGCTCGTCCTTCTTCTCCTGCTCCTCCTGCTCCTCGTCCTGCTCCTGCTCGTCCTCGTCCTCCTGGTCTTGCTCGTCCTCCTCCTCGTCGTGCTCTTGCCCCTGCTGAAAATGTGGCCCAGGAATGGGAGTTCTGGGAAGTCGAAGAGCACGAAGTTGCCTACAGTTGGCTACGGGCATTCAAAATGTGGCCCGGGAATGGAGTTCTGGGAACTCGAAGAGCACGAAGTGGCCTACAGTTGGCTCCGGGCATTCAAAATGTGGCCCGGGAATGGAGTTCTGGGACTCGAAGAGCACGAAGTGGCCTACAGTTGGCTCCGGGCATCCAAAATGTGGCCCGGGAATGGAGTTCTGGGAACTCGAAGAGCACGAAGTGTGTGACTGTTGCATCCGGCCCTCCAGAATGTGGCCCGGGAATGGAGTTCTGGGAACTCGAAGAGCACGAAGTGTGTGACTGTTGCATCCGGTTATTCTAAAGGTGGCCCGGGAATGGCGTTCTGGGATCTCGAAGAGCACGAAGTGTGTGACTGTTGCATCCGGTTATTCAGAATGAGCCTGGGAATGGAGTTCTGGGAAGTCGAAGAGCACGAAGTGTGTGACTGTTGGTGAAAAACGAGTTCGGCACAGGCCCGCCCGGCAACTCCCAACACCTGCCCGGACTCCCCTGTGGAGTGATCTGTGACCTCTTTTGACACTACTAGAAACCTATCAGTCTTCGATGTTAGGTAAAATAGTCCCCAGACTATTTTTGGATTATTTTTGGACTATGTTGGGGGTATTTTTTATTTTTCGTCGAAAATCCCCCTGTAGGGGGATAGGCCCGATTTAAACATAGGACCACCAAGCAATGGTTTGGGGAGGGACTCGTCGATCAGCCCGCGCAGCAGCGAGGAGGAGGGAGGAGATAACGGAAACGACGACGGCGCCAGGGAGGAGGAGGAGGGTTTCGCGAAGCCTGGGGGTCTGGGGAGGAGGCAGAGCAGATAGAGGAAGGAGGAGGAAGGAGGAGGTGGAGGAGGATGAGGATGAGAGGCGACTGGATGAAGCAGGAGACGGAGAGGAACGGAGGAAGAGAAACGGATGGACGGAGGGAGGAGGAGGAGGAGGAGCAGGAGGAGGAGGCGCAGGCGAAGGGCCCAGACCCCCGACGTCATGAATTTTTCATGACGTCGACCCCCAGAGGTCCGGACCCATTCCCCGGGACCGGTTTTTCGTCCTGAGTCGTTTTTGACGGTCCCGAGGGCCGGTAAGGGCCCCCAAAGGCCGAAAATCATGAAAAACCTCGCGTCGTGATTTTTTCATAACTCGAGGGGGTCTGGGGGGGGAGGTGGGGAGGGGAGGCGCGGGAGCGCCGAGGGGCCGCGCCTGGGTCCGCCCAGGGCTCCACGCCGCCGCACTGCCACCAGTCCAGGCACACCGCGCTGCAGACGGAGCCGAGGCCGTTCAGGGCGACGTTCCTGCCCACACCAAGGCGGAGCGACCGCCGCCGCCGCGCCCGCGCCGACTTCCCCGCCCCCCGCGGGGGGGGGGCGACGGGGGCGAACCAGACCAGGGGGGGAACAATGCATGTATCCAAATTTGGACGCCCAAAATGGGTACCGAAAGAATGGGCACGATGCCCAACAACAAATGTTGTCCCAAGCCAACAGCGGCCGCTGTTGGGCAGGCGGCCTCCTGTCTCGAATGGACACAGGCCGCGGCGGCGTGGACAGCGGATCTTGTTCAAAATGAACAGGAACTGCTGTTGGGCATAGTACCCATTCTTTCAGTACCCATTTCGGGCGTCCAGACCAAAGGCGCCGACGGTCCATGCCTTCGGCGAGGCTCCCGGGCGGAGGCGTGTAGTGCCCGCCCCTGGGCTACTCGCCCGTGCCGTCGCCGCCGGCCCCCGGCGAGGGGGGGGACCGCCAGGCCGGCGGGGCCAGCTGGAAGAGGTCAGGCAGCGGAGGCGAGGGCGCGCAGCAAAGTGGTGCACTGCGGCGTCTGAGGAGGAGGAGGAGGAGGAGGAGGAGGAGGAGGAGGAGGAGGAGGAGGAGGAGGGGGAAGTGAGGAGGAGGAGGAGGAGGAGGAGAAGCGCAGGGCCATTGTAAAGCCAGGACGCATCAGCGATGCTGCACCCTCCTCATCAGTGCCCAGCGGCAGAGGATCACCTCTGGGCTGTGCCACCCGAGGGGGCGGCACGCGGACCGCCCAGCAACGGCCGCCGCCGCCGCCGCAGCCGCCGCCGCCGCCCCCCTCCCGCCCACGCCAGCGCGGACTGCGGATCCGTGGGCCCGGCGCGGGCGCCGGATCCACAGATCAGGGCAGGCGCCCCCCGAAGCATGAGGCCAAAGCTGCCTGACCTGGTGGAAGGACCGCGCCGATGCTGTGTGGGAGCCGGAGCCGTCGCTCTTCCACGCCACGCGCCCGCACCCACGCGCGTGTTTCCTGGCCGTTCGTTGGCACCCTACCTCCCGCTCTCCAGGCCCCGCGCCGTGAAAAAATCGCGACGGGGGGCTTCTGGCAATCTTCAGCCTCTGGGGGTCGCTGAGCAGGCCCTATGGGCGCCGCGAGGCAAGCCTGCTCAGGATGAAGGCCCCGTCCCCAGGCAGGGGTCCAGACATCTGGGCTACAGTAGGGGCCATTCCACAAGAAACCGTCCACAAGAAACCCAACCCTGAGACCCCAGTGCGTCCCTTGATTCTTGGTGTGGGAACTTCACGCTTTCCACAGCAAGACCATCGAAACCCAAGAAACCCAGGGCACCCTGGAGGCGAGCAGGGTGTGTCGTGGCATGGGTCTCCACTTTAAAACCGAGTCGCCACAGGCGTACGCGGGCGGCCTCAGAAGGCTTTTTGGCGGGCTCTTGGGGATATGTTGGAAGCCTCTTAAGGGGGGCCTCTTAGGACCTCCTGCGGCCGCTCTCGGCCCTGTTGAATGCCAAAAGAGACTTGCCCCTGTTGGCCTTTTTTTCATTATTTCCACGGATGTGGGGCGTCTCGGATGCCCCCTTGGAGCCTGCCCTTCTCCTCCTCCACCCTCCTCCCTCCTCCCTCCTCCCTCCTCCCTCCTCCTCCTCCTCCTCCTCCTCCTCCTCCGCCTCCTCCTCCTCCTCCTCCTCCTCCTCCTCCTCCTCCTCCTCCTCCTCCTCCTCCTCCTCCTCCTCCTCCTCTCCTCCTCCTCCTCCTCCTCCTCCTCCTGCTCCTCCTGCTCCGCTCCTCCTGCTCCTCCTCCTCCTGCTCCTCCTCCTCCTCCTCATCCTCCTCCTCCTCCTCATCCTCCTCTGCTCCCCTCCCCATCTCATCCTCCTCCTGCTTCTCCTCCTCCTCCTCCTCCTCCTCCTCCTCCTCCTCCTCCATATCATCCTCCATCTCTCATCCCTCCCGCCATCCCCCCCCCATCCCCTCCCCCTCCCCTCCTCCATCTCCTCCTCCTCCACACCCTTCCTCCCCCTCCTCCTTCTCCTCCTCCCCTCCTCCTCCTCTTCCTCCTCATCATCCACCTCCTCCTCCTCCTCCTCCTCCTCCTCCTCCTCCTCCTCCTCATCATCATCATCATCATCATCATCATCATCATCATCAGCATCATCATCATCATCATCATCATCATCATCATCATCATCATCACCCCCGTAGTCTTACTACTAGTAGTGTTCGTAGTAGTCGTCCTCGCCGTCGTCTTCGTTGTCGTCATACTATCATTGTGATTCGTAATAGCATTATCAATGGAAATATTGTTCGTACTAGTAGTGGTATGAGTATTAGTAGTCGTGTCATTACTAGTTGTCATAGAGCTAATGGTAGTAGTAGCAGCAGCAGCAGCAGCAGTAGCAGTAGTAGTAGCAGTAGTCGTAGTTGTAGTAGTAGTAGTAGCAGCAGCAGTAGCAGTAGCAGTAGCAGTAGCAGTAGCAGTAGCAGTAGCAGTAGCAGCAGTAGTAGTAGTAGTAGTAGTAGTAGTGGTAGTAGTAGCAGTAGTAGCAGCAGTAGTAGCAGCAGCAGCAGTAGTAGTAGTAGTAGTAGTAGTAGTAGTAGTCGTAGTAGTAGTAGTAGTAGTAGT